GTGTTCTTACATGGAGTATCTTCTAGCGGAATCACTGAGCGCTGATTCTCTCCCTGTCAAAGCAAGTGACCTTTATTTTGAGGTTTTCAACAAATTTCTACTGGACCACAAGAGAAAGGAAATTCCATCTGAAAGCAGCACACTGGATAAGCTTTCAGAGCTAGCAGCTGAATTGCTTGTAAAGAAGAAGTTTCTTTTTGTTAAAGAAGACATGACAAAGTTTGATTTACGTGAAGTTGAAAGCCTGAGAGCAAGTGGCATTCTTCATTCTGGTCCTCCTTTCAGGAAATCTGCCTTTGAAGAGACGAAACATTTTTGTTTCACACACCTTACTCTACAGGAGTATTTGGCGGCTCGTTGGTTTGTGGAGAGAGGAGAGATTCCCTCCACACGAAAAGTGTCTTCAATGGTTATGCAGTTCATGGCTGGTATTTTATCGAAGAAAAGAGACAATAAATTCATGGAGAAATTACTTGAAGTACTGCAATCAGATGAAAGCGGCTGTCGGGGCCTTCTCAACAGAGTAAAGTGTCTCGCTGAGTATGAAGAAAAAGATTTCGCAAAAAATATCATAAAGAAACATTCCTCTCAATTCAAGTTTCGCAGATTCCATTCCTTAACTGATGTGGACTGTATTGCTGTTTCGTTTTTGTTAAGTGTGTTTGGTGAACTGAATAAAGAAGACACTAAAAAACATAGACCATTTCCTGAGTTGAGCATCTCAAAGTCAAATCTAACACAGTCGGGAATAAAACGAATCTGTAAATCTTTGGAAAAAGAGTTTCGTTCCGTCAAAACACTGTCGCTGAGTAAGTGTGGCTTAAATGACGAATGCGTCGATTGCATCAAAGAATTAGTTTCAAGTAGATTAACTGAACTAGCACTGGAGGAAAATGAGATCACTGATGCCGGTGTAACCCGTTTGAGTGAAGCATTACAGTCACCAGCTTGTAAAGTAACCACACTAAACCTGAGTGGTAATCAGATCACTGATGAGGGTGTTACCAGTTTGAGTCGAGCACTACAGTCACCAGCTTGTAAAGTGGCCAGACTAAAGCTAGATGGTAATCAGATCACTGATGAGGGTGTTACCAGTTTGAGTCAAGCATTACAGTCACCAGCTTGCAAAGTAACCATATTAGGCCTCCAAAATAATCAAATCACCGAAGCCGGTGCTAGTAGTTTGAGTCAAGCATTACGGTCATCAGCCTGTAAAGTAACCGGAGTAAGTCTGACTGGTAATAAGATCATCGATGGCGGTGTTAAAAGTTTGAGTCAAGCATTAAAGTCATCAGCCTGTAAAGTAACCAATTTATACCTGAGTGCTAATCAGATCACCGCTGACGGTGTTCGCAGTTTGAGTCAAGCATTAAAGTCGTCAGCCTGTAAAGTAACCACACTACGCCTGGATGGTAATCAGATCACTGATGCGGGTATTGAAAGTTTGAGTGAAGCATTACAGTCACCAACCTGTAGAGTAACCACACTAGGCCTGGTGCGCATTCTGATCACTGATGCCAGTGTTATTAGTTTGAGTCAAGCATTACAGTCACCAGCCTGTAAAATAACTTCACTATACCTGGGTGAAAATCAGATCACTGATGCCGGTGTTGCCAGTTTGAGTCAGGCATTACAGTCAACAACCTGTCAAGTAACCACACTACACATGGGTAAGAATCAGATCACCGATACTGGTAGAGAATATCTTAGAAGTCTGAAGCACCAAAAACCAGATCTTGAATTAAAGTATTAGAACAATAGAGAGAAATGAGAAATCTTAAGGAAACGTTTTAAGCTGGATAGACAAAGTTCACAAGTCATTGCTGATATAGCTTTGGTGTTGATTTTTTTGTAAACCTTACTTAAAATCTGTTGTTAGAATTCTTTAAGGCAAAAAATAATTACAAACATTTTGAACCATTAAAATAATATTTATTTAATCAGTTAATAATGACTGAGTCTTACTGCAGAGATTGTTGTAATGTTGAGTTCTTATGTTTTCCTTTGTGCCCGTAAGAAGTCGTAATCTTTGTAAATAAAGAGTTTGTTAATATCAATGATCGACTAAACTTCGTTTAAACTCTGTCTCGAGGTGGGGTGATGATATTTTAAACTAAGTCTAGAATTCGCTTTTGAATATTAGATACTTGAGGGGTTGGGTAGAAAATATCAAAAAATCCCTGTAAATTTATGAAACCAAAATGACAATGATCAAACATCGAGTATTGCGGCAGTAAGGCGTTTTTCTCTACTCTCTTCTCTTTACTCTTAAATCAAGGTTAAAGTATTAGCAGTCTAAAATGTTTGGTAATACGTCTCTAAAAATAGATAACAGTGGATTTAATGATAATCACGGGGCGTGAATCGAATGAGCCTGGAAGAATAAATATTTGCGTAAATATATATCGGCAATGGAAGCGTTTAAAGGAAGGGTTTCACGGTTCGGCGCATGTCTCTAAATCAAAATACTTTTTGTTCGCTTCTTATCAATGTGATCGCTTTAAATACCCCACTCAGATGTGGTTCAGTAATCTCACGCTATTGTTAGTCCTGGACGAATGGCGGATGACGAAAATTCTCAGAAGATTTTAGTGGATTTTACCGACGCTGTCGACCGTTAAATTTAGTTCTGATCCGTACCCTTTATCTACAGTTGATGATTTTACGGCTATTTGCATAGGAAATTAGGTAATTTGCTTACGATTGGTTCATAAACAATTAAAAACGTCAACTGGGCCTTTGCCTAAAAGCGTGCACAGGCGAATAAACAACCGTGAACCGTGAAACCCTCCCTTAAAGGTTGTCAGAACGTATAGGACAATCTGTTTACAATATTTGCCTCATTGCCATAAGCGATACAGTTTCTGATGGAGCTACAAAGAGATTAATACTGAATATTGAAAGGGAACAGCACGATTAACTGTCCCAAGGAATTTGAGCGCGATGTATTGAATACTTTTCGTGCGACGAGGGTTTAAAAGCTCAAAATTTTACAAAAAAGTATGAGCTCATTAGCGCTTTTGCCACACAGAAATTGTGATGTTTTTGAAAGCCAATTTCTCCACTAATATTACACCCAAAGAGCCAAAAATTTCACCACTTACTAAGTTTCACAAGCTCTACGTTTTTTCTAGTAAAACCGTGTTTAGCATGATGCCTTCTATGCGCAAAGTCGTATGTTAATGAGGAAAAATGTAAACAATGACGTCAGCAAAGATTCGCCTATACTGAAGTATACACTGAAGTAAATATGCTTACAANAGCACGATTAACTGTCCCAAGGAATTTGAGCGCGATGTATTGAATACTTTTTGTGCGACGAGGGTTTAAACGCTCCAAATTTTACAAAGAATGTATGAGCTCATTAACGCTTTTGCTACACAGCAAATTTTGATGTTTTTGAAAGCCAATTTCTCCTCGAATATTACACCCAAAGAGCCAAAAATTTCACCACCTACTAAGTTTCACAAGCTCTTTAAGTTGTTCTAGTAAAATCGTGTCTAGCATGATGCCTTGTATGCGCAAAGTCTTATGTTAATGAGGGAAAATGTAAACAATGACGTCAGCAAAGATTCGCCTATATGGTCTTTCATATATTCTCTTGAAACTGCTGCGCGTGTTGCGAAAAATATTTGAAGGATAATACAAACAAAAACCTCCGTTTGGCGCAAAATATGCTCGAGTATTTGTCCCTGGGCATTACCTATTCCTAAAAGCTCACAGTTCTCCTCAAGCCACGCTCTCCGAAAACTGTTCGCCAAATGGAGGCTATTGTTCATTTAATCTACTTTAAGTTGATAAATAGCTTGCGAAGTGCTTCGCTTGCCCGTCTACGAAGCTACGTGGTTCGCACTACGCTGGAGAATTTTCAAAACGGAGGTTTCACTCTGAAAACGCATCAAATGTTTTCCGTGTACATTACGCCGGGGGAATTTAAAAACGCAAAAGTCAGCGGTCATTTTGGATTCGTGTTTAAGGAAAACTCGGGCAGGGAAATCACATGATCATCGTGACGTCATCGTTTTCGAAAAGCTCCATTTTCAAATTCCGTCGGTTTGAAGAGCGTTTACTAAAAACTTCGTTTTCGTTACGGATTAGTGTGGACGGTTGGCCTAACCGTAAAAATAAAGCTTCCTATTTCAAATTTCTCGAGCATAGTGTGGACGCTGCCTTACTTTGAAGTTTTTGTAGCGCTTTATTTCAGTAGTAAGTTGATCATGAAGTTGTATTCGTGAGAATGTTAAATTAACGTAGTAAAACACAGTGTCATGTAGTTTGCTTGCAATGTAGGGTAATGCAATGTCTTGTAGATTGTTTGTAGTCGGTTTAGCTGTAAGTAGAAGTCAAAAGGGAACAAAACTGATGGAATTCTTGTTAAAATTGCTTATTTTGTAGCTGGTAGTTTTGCATTTCTCTTTCTGTCAATGCGTTTTCAGTCTTTTGCTGCCTAAATTAAGTTCATTTAGATGTAAGTCAGAATAAGGGGAAAGAAAACCGTTGGAATTCTTGTTAAAATTGTTTATTTTGTAACGAGTCTTTCTGTTCAGGTTTTTTCAGGCTTTTGCAGGCTATAAAATTTTGTTTAAAGAACAATTGTTTCTTTGCAGTTTAAGTTTATTTGGCTGTCCAAGGGTTTTCAGTTCTTTCCATTGATTTAGTGGCCTAAGTGATAATGACTGACCTGTTTTTTAGCTGAAGAGAAACCAACCATTAAGTCATCAATATTGAGGTAAAAAAAAGTTTTGAATGATATAGTAGGTCTAATCTTAATTACTGGCATTTGCTAAACAGCTTCTCAAG